AAAAAAAAAAAAAAAGAAATAGGAAAGACCATCTCAGAGAAAAAGGCAGTCTTACTGTCCTTGTTTTTATCATTTTACCTTGGGCTTCAAATTGTGCTGCCTCTAGTCTACCATCCAGCATTTGGGAACAGTTGACCTATATTATGATTCACATTTAACAAAAATAGAGTATTGAATATACGCATTTAACTGAGACACTTAGAAGGAACACCTAGTGAGTATAGAGACAGGAGGCCTTGAAGGACATGATCAGATTACCAAACTAGTAACTACTCAAAAACATTTTTAAGGAAAAGGGAAAACAGTTTCAGAAATCAGCATAATTAAGAAACTATTGTTCTTTTAATATCCCATATTTTTATTGTATAATAAGAACTCACTTTTATTGAGTGCTTATTATTCGCCAAGCACTGTGCTAAGTACTTCTAGCATGGATTATCTAATTTAATTCTAACAATCCTATGAGATAGATGATACTAGTATTGAAATTATTTTGGTTGGATACATTTTTTTTTCTAAAGTTAAGAGATTACCAACTTCACCACAGAATTATAAATCTTGAGTGACCATTATATAAATGCTATGGTAGCCTTTTAATAAAACTGATCAAAAGGAATGTGGATTAAGTGCCTGGGTGGCTCAGTCTGTTAAACGTCCGACTCTTGATTTTGAGATCGAGCCCCGTGTTGGACTCTGCATTGAGCATGGAGCCTACTTAAGATTCTCTCTCTATCCCTCTCCCCCCTCCCGCCTCTCTCTCTCTCTAAAAAAGGAAAAGAATGTTCCAAGTCCTATGAAAACTTGCTCACCTTGCATCTGGCACAGCTGTGATACCGTTATGTCTGACCCTTTCCATCTATCCAGTCCTCCAGCCTTTTTAGTTATGATTGAAATTCATGCAGTAATCATTCAGTTATGAATAATTAATATGGGCAAGACAGATTTTAGGTATTGAGGGGTTAAAAATACAGGGTTTCTGTTTTCAAGGAGTACTGTGATCTAGTTAGGTAGAGAAGACATCCCTATGAAAGAAAAGCTCATAGTTTTATTTATTTATTTTTTTTAAAGCTTTTATTTATTTGACAGAGAAAGAGACAGCCAGAGAGGGAACACAAGCAGGGGCGAGCAGGAGAGGTAGAAGCAGGCTTCCCGCTGAGCAGGGAGCCTGATGCGGGGCTCGATCCCAGGACCCTGGGATCATGACCTGAGCCAAAGGCAGACGCTTATCAACTGAGCCACCCAGGCGCCCCGAAAAGCTCATGGTTTTAAGGCAAAATTGTGTCAACTGAGACATAGAGAACAGGGGTCTGCAAACAATGATCCCTGAGCCAAATTTGGGACACTGCCCCTGTTTTTGCAGTTTATGGGCTAAGATTGGTTTTCATATTTAAAAAATTTTAAGACAAAACAAAAGACAAGAAAGAAGAACATGCAGTAGACTATATGGCCCATAAAGCCTAAAATATTTTCCTTCTGGCACTTTACAGAAATTTGTCAACCTTTAATATGTAAGATAAGTGCCATCAGGACACTATGTCTAACGTGTGTTTGGGGGACTTGTGTGGTCTGGGTGAACCTCACAGAGAAGCTAAAGTTTATATAGGACTACAAATTGGAAAGAAAGGGAGAGGTCGCCGCAAAGGTGTGTGACGTGCAAATTCTACAGTATATCATGAAGATTATCTAAAGACTTTGGTTGGCCTTTGTTACTGGTTATGTCTCTTTGGGAAGATTTTTTTTTATTATGTTAATCACCATACATTACATCATCTTTGGGAAGATTTTTGGGGGTTTTCTGTTGTTTTGATTGCTTGGTTTAACTTTTATTGTTTTTCTTCTCTTGAATGTTTTATACTTGTGCTTTCCCTTTCTATGAAATGGTTGAAGTCCATACTCCTTGCCCCATTATTTATGGCCTTCTGTAGTCTGATCTTACCTGTCTTTCTAACCTTGTACATGCCTACTGAACATAATAACACTGAAAAGGAAATTTGCTATGTATGTTAAATAGTGATAATAAAAAAAATAGTTTGAACAAAAGGACAATGAGACAGAAAGTAGATTCTTTGGAGCAGAAGTCAGCCAACTTTTTCTATAAAGAGCTAAATAGTCCACATGTTCAGCTTTGCAGACCAACGACTCAACTCTGCTGTTCTAACAGGAAAGCAGCCATCCCCCTTTGCAAACGTGTATGTGAACGAGCATGGCTGTGTTCCAGCAAAACTGTTTACAAAATCAGGTGACTGGGTGGGTTTGGCCCACAGACCAGCGTTTGTCTTGCCCCTGTGTTAGGGTATTTCTAGGTACTTAGAAGTACTTTGAATGTCACTAATAGTCTTAAAAATTGTTGAAAAAATGAGCACATGTAGTAAAAAGTCCGACAGTACAAAAGGGTTTATAGTGAAAAGTTGAATTGTCCAGCTGAGCTCTGCTGCTCCGGCCCCCCCTCTGTAGGAAAATCGCTACTAGTTTTTTGGCTGTCTTTTCAAAGTTAACTCTGTACATATAAGAACAAACACATACTCTTACTAATAAAAACGGTATCATGCAGAACAAACACTGTTCTGTATCTTTATGAATACATATGTAGGCACACTACTTTACTAATACAAAATATTGTAAAGTTTTTTCATTTTTCAAGATATCTCGAAGATCTATGCCTCTTTTTGGGGTCATATTATGCTTAATAAAAGCAGAAGAACAAGTAGAGAAATGTATCTGATCTTCCTAATCCACAGTCCGAAATTAAAGGTAAAAATTTTGATCAACATCAAAGCCAAATTTCTTTCACATCCTGTTTCGGGATTTCTCTCATCTTCTGATTTAGTAGTCTTGGGAGCTGAGTTGGAGAAGGGCATAAAGAGGAATTCCCTATGATGGCAGAGGAGGAAAGGACAGTAGCACTCATAATGGAAATAACTTTTCACCACTCAGCGACTCACGGTTTATCCCTACAACACCTGCAATCATGCCAAACATAGAGCAGGCATATCATGTTGGAGAAAACTGTTGGCTTGACTTAAATCTGTTGTTTGCAGTTGCCTGGACTTGGAGCAGTGCTCTCTTAAGGTCTTGGAGCCTGAAGGAAGTCCAAGCTTATGTTTACTGAAGCTGTTGGGTGAGAAAGGTTGTACGGTCACGGATCTGAGTGACTTCCTGCAAACTATGGAGCACACAGAGGTTCTTCTGCTTCTAAGCCCCCCAGGTAGGTTCTTCTCTGAGGTCTGTTCTCCAGGAGTTCGTGGAGACAAACATAGAGGAAAATATCTCATTTGCCAATGAACTGTATTAAATATTTTTGGAAAATGTAAACATATGGAGACTCATTTTTTCCCTCCAGGTTGAGACTAAGGAACACATAAAAAGCAAATACAGTGCATAAACACTGATTGGATTGTGGTTCAAAAACATCAACTGTAGGGTCCCTGGGTGGCTCAGTTAGGCATCTGCCTTTGGCTCAGGTCATGGTCCCAGGGCCCTGGGATTGAGTCCCACATCGGGCTCCCTGCTCGGCAGGAAGCCTGCTTCTCCCTCTCCCACTCCCCCTGCTTGTGTTCCCTCGCTCACTGTGTCTGTCTCTGTCAAATAAATTTAAAAAAGTATTAAAAAAAAAAATCAACTGTAGAAGACATTTTGGAGACAAGTAAAGCCATTTGAATTTAACGTGTATTAGGTATTAGGGAATTATCGTGTGATAATGGTGGTGTAGTCTGTAGAAGAATGTCTTTATTCCAAGGAGATGCATGCTAAAGTATTTAGGGGATGGGGCGCCTGGCTGGCTCAGTGGGAGAGCATGCAACTCTGATCTCAGGGTCGTGAGTTCAAGCCCCATGTTGGATGTGGAACCTACTTTAAAAAAAAAAAAAAAGGTAAAGTATTTAGGGCTAAGAGTCTTTTTTTTTAAGAATTTATTTATTTGAGAGAGAGAAAGCAGGATAGAGAGCATGAAGGGGCATGGGAGGGGGAGGGGCAAAGGGAGAGGGAGAAGCAGACTCCCTGCCAGGCAGGGAGCCCGATGTGGGGGCTCGATCCCAGGACCTCAGGATCATGACCTGAGCCGAAGGCAGACACCTTAACCAACTGAGCCACCCAGGCGCCGCTAGGGGTAGGATTTCTATAACTCACGTTGAAATAGTGCAGCCAAGACTCAGTCAGTAGAGCCTGTGATTCTTGATTTTGGGGTTGTGAGTTTGAACCCCATATTGGGGGTAGAGTTTACTTTGAACTGAAGAAAGGGAGGAAGGGAGGAATAGTGCAGCCAAACATTTATTAATATGTATGTATGTATACAAATGAGATCAAGCAAATATGGTAGATATTTACTGTTTAAGTATTTCACCGACATGATGCTTTTGAAATGTGGATTGATTCAACCATGATTTTTTTTCTGAATATACCAGTATTGAGTGAGATTTCTCACTCGCAAGGTCAGGTGTGAAGAATAGGAAACAGCCCCTTGTCTGCACAGCTACAGGTAAAGTTGGTCCCCTGCAGCAGTGTCAGGCAGGAGAGACCATGTGATCGGAGTCACGTGATGACAGCACTGCCGACCTCCCCTTCTCAGGTCCAGTTCACCATTATAGGTTCCACCAGAAGCAGAGAAGCCAGTCGAGGTTGGGAGGGCCATGGTCTAAGGACTCATGCTCTCTATGTTACATGGTTTTGATGTATGTAGTTTTTATTACATAACCAGCCTGTTTGTGATAATATTTTGAAGTTAACATGAGAAAGCTAAAATCATAATTCAGATCTTATTTTTGTCAGTTCTGGGTTTCGGGAATCTTCTAACTGAAAAGTCTTGAAGCAGGCTGGGCTTCAAGAGAGGCTGAGGACAGCCCTGTTTTCAAAGAATTGGTTTGTTTTCATCTTTGCCCCTCCTTTCTTGTTACTGGCTTCCTTCCAAGAGTGACTTTCTGCATAGTTGCAAGATCTCTACTGACTTGCATTCATCTTTGTCCCAGCAAAAATCATAAGATTCACTCTAGTTAACTAATTTCGATGACATGCCTGTCCCTACACCTGTCACTGTGGCAAGGGAGATGGAATGTACCCATTTGCTGGCTTAGAGCCAGGAATGGAGTTGGGTTGAGTCAGCTTTCCAGAAACCACATAGGATACTAAACAAAAGTGGGCCTGTTGGGGGTGCCTGGGTGGCTCAGTCGGTTAAGCGACTGCCTTCGGCTCAGGTCATGATCCTGGAGTCCCGGGATCGAGTCCCGCATCGGGCTCCCTGCTCGGCAGGGGGTCTGCTTCTCCCTCTGACCCTCTTCCCTCTCGTGCTCTCTGTCTCTCATTCTCTCTCTCGCAAATAAATAAATAAAATCTTTAACAAAAAAAAAAAGTGGGCCTGTTGGAAGGAGAAAGGGCATAACAGATGCTAGGGAGGTAACCAGAGTCCACTACAAAGGAAAAGGACCCTAGATTACAAGTCAGGAAACTTGGACTCTCAGATCATCCTCTGCCTCCCACGGCCTAAGGTGATGATAAAATAGGTGCCTCCTTTGGGTTACACGTTGCATTGGATGCTTGACATCTGTTTCTCAGTGCCTCTTCATACCAAGAGGTCTGGGGTAGGAGTAACTACATCTAGATGACATTGTTGTTTGTCACCAATCAGTGAACTTCTTCATAAGGTGACATTTGTTAACTTTTATATCCCCAGTGCCTTGAATATTACCCAGGAGTTGTGACGATTGAAATCTGCCAGTTGGGGCACTCAGTTAGCTACTAAGTTCTCATACTTCCTAGAATACCATACCAGGGCCTCTGAAAACTTAAGAAACCTTTCCAGGAAGTGAATATAACTTGTATATCTCATTATCTTTTTTCAGTAATTACACTAATCACTGTGACTGTTGGTTGCCAAGTCTATAAAATGAGAGTAAGTGTTCTCTACCTGGCAGAGTTGGAGGAGTTACATGAATGCCACGTGGAATGGTCTCTAGGCAGCCACAGAGGTTTCCCGTCTCCTGATCTGTGGTGGGATCACTGGCCTCAGATCTCGGGCTTCCACGTTTTCAGTTTCCCATGCATGACACTGGGCTTTCCTGAAATTGAGTCACATGTTTGTTTATGTGTAACGATCTGCCTGAAATTTTTGACAATATTTTAATTTTTGACAAACCAGCAGTGAATACAGAGCCAACCTAATAAACATCAGTAATCTAATCCCTTCACAGATCCATTTCTGCTCTTTGTGTTTTTCTCCACATAGTAGGATTAGCACTTTACCATCAGTGTTCCCCATATAGATCATTCTGGTACTTGGCCTACCAGCTTTTTCAGAGTTATCCCCTAGGACTTCCTTGCATTTGAGGGGATACCAGGAAAAGGAAAGCAGTTTCTATGTTAACATTTCTACATTAACACTTATTCACTATTTCTGTGAAGTTTTATCTCATATTAGCTGTAAAAAGTGTCCATTGGGAATCAGTTTCTTGAATATTAAGTATTCATTTTTGAGGACATATTTTAGGATCTGTAAAGCTCAGTAATTTCAGGAAGAGGTAATTTACTGTTAGCTTTCTATGTGCATTTTATGTGAATAATCTAAAACTCACTGTATTTGCAGATATTAGAATAAAGAAGTATAAGAATTATAGAGAAAATTTTAATTTTTAATAAGGATATTGAGAATAAAAACTATTGTACTTAAGAAGGTAAGCTCTGATAGAATCAACTTTATTTAAGACTTTACTCATTCATTCAGTAAAAACTTACAGGTTTCTAGTACCTTTGCTGTTCCAGACGTTGCACTTGGTACTATGATTCAAAGATGACTAGAACCAAAATTCTTGCCTAGGAAAGGTTCGTAGTCTAACAGGAAAGACAAACCTGTAAATGATCACATCCAACACAATCATAAACACAAGTAGAACAAGTCTTATCGATCTTTGGGTTTTCCTTTTCAGTGTATTCCTGTATCTTGGTGAAAATACAATATAGAAATATTTAATGTTGGGACGCCTGGGTGGCTCAGTTCGTTAAGCATCTGCCTTCAGCTCAGGTCATGATCTCAGGGTCCTGGGATTGAGCCCCATGTCGGGCTCCCTGCTCAGCGGCGAGTCTGCTTCTCCCCCTCCCTCTGCCTCTCCCTCTGCTTGTGTTCTCTCTGTCTCTCTTTCAAATAAATAAATAAATCTTAAAAAAAAAAAAAAAGAAATATTCGTATGTTTTCTCTCTTTTTTTGTAGTAAGACAGTTTCATAGGAGGACATCAGTTCTTATTCCACAGAAAATCCAGTGACTTTTCTCTCATTGTCTCTATAGAGAGGTCTGCTTTTGGTGAGGGCGGTGAGTTCTGTCAAAGATGCTGTGAGCCTCTGAACAGACCTTTCAGACCTAAATGCAGGAAGAAGAGGAAACTTTAGATTTATTTTAGTTTTATTTTGCCCCATTCCATTCTGGTTGTTTGTGGGCTGACAGCCAGAGATAGCCATGGGAGATGGCTATAATAAGGAGTTTCTCTGTTTTTCTGAGAAACTGAGTTTCTTTTATGTATTTGTTTTGATAGCCCAGCAATAGCTGGGGCAGCATTCCCTGCCTCTAACTAGAACGATTCCCTTGATTAGGAGCCAGCCTCCATGGTCCCTCACTTAGGATGGGATCTAAGCTGAGGGTAACTCATCCCTAAATTCTTTCTCTCCGTGGGCTTTGACACTTAATATATTTTCTGAAGGAGCCCCATAGGATTGAGCTTCTGCTTTCTCTCTAATTGGGCTTTCTCACAGCACATGGATGGCTAGCTGCTCCCCATGCCCATTTCCCAGCACTGATTGTTTCCATATTTTATTCTTTTGGTCATTCCAGTGGGAATTGGAGGGGAGTGGGAGCATTAAATGAGTGTGCTGAAATTGTTTGAACCAGAAGTCTGTAATGATTTTTTAGACCTTTATTTTCTCATTAAAGGATCAAAACTCCTGATCCCAAAGCAGCTGACGTTGGCATCTCTGTCCCTCGCAAATGTCATTGAGCCTAGATGTGCAGTTCAAGATGTTCCTGTTTCTTTTTCTTTTTCTTTTTTTTTTTTTTTTAAAGATTTTATTTATTTATTTGACAGAGAGACACAGCGAGAGAAGGAACACAAGCAGGGGGAGTGGGAGAGGGAGA